GAAATTTATGAAGACATGGAAGGTGGTTACTAGGTCATAGTTATTAAAGTTACAAATAAAGTTACAAGCTATACTTAGTCTGTAGTATATTATGGAAAATGTAGCTTTACTTTTTATCTTATATTTGTTTTGCGGAAGCAAATGAAATAACAAAAATCAAAAAAAGCCAAAAGTAATAGAAGTTAATTACTCAAGAAGACTAGACACACAGAGCTCAAGCAGCTGCAATTCTGATTTATCTGGAGCTGATGAAACATACCCTCTGTAACAGGGGTTTAAAAACACTGAGACTTTGCATGGCTCACATGTTGCACAGATATGAATAGGATCAATTTATATTGGGGGCTAAAGATCATGAGTCCTGGGGGCAACAAGGCTACTGGGAGTTATGATCAAACTTAATGCAGTATAATGCACAGGTACAAGAGAAAGCAGCTTTGGGTTTTTTTGTTTTGTTTTTTATGATAGCAGTGGATTTTGAAGTCAAACAGACGAAAATAAGATACTTCAATCATGTGTGAGAAACATTTCAGGTTTGCTGGGGGAAGGCCAAGACAACCTGAGCCTCTGGGACAGACCAGTCCACACTAAACAGGAACGCTCAGGAGGGCAGACTCGGCAGACTGAGGCAGGCACTGATATTAAGGCCTGGTCTTATCTAAAACTTAGATCAACCTAGCTACATCACTGAGGGCTGTGAAAAATTCTGTGCCCTAAGCACAGTACATAGGTCAACTTACCCATAGTGTAGATATGGCTAGGTCAAGGATTCTTCCATTGACCTAGCTACCTCCTCTTGGAGAGGTAGATTACCTACATCAACAGAAAAACCTCTTCCACTGATGTAGTCATACCCTTAGACATTTGTTAGTTGCTCTGGCCCTTAGTCCTTCATACAAAAAGTTCCTTAGCAGAGAGGAGGCAGACCAAGGAGCCTGCAAATATATAATGCCCTCTACCCTATCTGGTCCTGGCCTCCTATCAGAGGATATTGCCCTGGAGGAGAGTTTTCAATAGCCAAGGTCCCTTCAGAACTGAGCCAAGGCAGAATGTGAAGCAGTCCTCTAAACCAGGCACTTAGGCTATGTCTACACTTACCGCAGTGTATAGACTACAGGCACTACATGTGTAGCTACACGCTGCAGTGAAAGGCAGGCTGTGTCCACAGTTGTCACTATGGCAGTGAAAAGCTCTGGAAGGGGCAGGCAGTGGGGAAAGGCTCTAGCACTGGGGAGCTGCCAAAGCGTTTTCTCACTGCTGGAGCCTTTCACTGCAGCAGGGAAAGGCTTTGGCAGTGAGGAGGCGGCAGGACACTACACTGCTAAAAATAGCAGTGTAGATGTGCTTGGGTGTGTAGAAAGCCATGTAGGGTACATACCCTGGGGGTTTAGATGTGTAGGGAACTCTACTCACGTAAGCCATGCATCACCACTTACACTATTTATACCCATGCTAGCTGGGTGTGCAGAGTCTGTACTCTCCATGCATAAGTATAGACACCCCTTAAAACGATCTCTTGTAGGTCTGAAACGAAGACAAAATCAATGGGGATGTCACTTGGGAGGTTGCATCTGAATGGAGAAGAATCTCTTCCATGCAGTTGCCGATCAACAGGTATCAACTGAAAAATCATCTGTGACTAAAAATTAAAGCCCTCCTATACTGGAGGGAAACTCAAACTTTGGTGCAAGAGTCCTTTAGACCTCACCTGATGTACTCAATAACAGAAAAATAATTAGCATTATTCCAACATATAAACTATATAAAATTGCCATGTTGTCATATGACTGTTTTCAGTCAATGATAATCCAGGAATTCTCATTGCCAAACTCGACAATAGATCAAATTCTGTTCTCAGTTATACCAGTACAACACTATCGTCGACAGTACAGGCAGAAGTGAGGGCAGGAGGGTGGCCTAAATTTATACCATTAAGCATTTTTATAAGGGCCACCAATTCATCACAAACATTAGGAGCTGTGGGTGTTTAATACCATCCAACTAGTGGGCTTTTCTTAGTATTAAAATGATATTTGATTGGGTTGGGTAGATCTGCCATTTTTGTGCAAAGAGGCTTTTTAGATTTAGCTCTTATGTTTAAATGCATTTCATTCCAATCCTGGAAATCATGTGTGATGAAACATTCATCAATGGAAGATGTTTAGACAAATTTAATTTTGGAAGAACAACGAAGCCTCTTCTGCTCTTGCTTTTTTACCCTAGTTATTAAGGTCTATAGAAATCATAACAGAGAATGTCCAGTAATAGAAAAGCATCATTACAACACACAAGGAATAAAAGCCTGCTCTATGTACAGATGACCTTTTTTTATTTTTGGCGTTACCACGGATCTCTGCACCCAGTGTGATTTTGGCAGTAGACAACTTCAGGTATATCATATGTCTGGTTACAAAACAGATTACCATGAATCTGAAATTCTGCCTTTACATTCCACAGAGGTATGCAAGAGCAACTGGAGCCACACTTCATTTGCAGTGATCTTACTAAAAGTGAAAATATCTTGGCACATATCTAGATCAAAAATTGGTTTCCTTGTTCAAATAACACTTTGCACCAAGTCTAAGCACCGGGAAAGTGAGAAATGGAAAAAAGAGCATATTGTCATTAAAATGAACTAACTTCCCTAACTAGACTTCTTATTTTTCCTGACCATTTTTGAGCTAGAAAACCACTTCTTGTTATTTAAACAAGTATTATTCCTGAGGTATTTTTGGAAAGATTAAAAAAAAAAAGAGTCTGGGCTAGATTCATAAATTCCAAAGCCAGACCACTGTGATCATCTAGTCTGACCTCCTCTATAGCATAGTCCATAGAACTCCCTCAAAATAATTGCTAGAGCAGACAATTTAGAAACACATCCAATCTTATTTTTAAAATTGTCAGAGATGGCGAGTCCACCGTGACCTTTGGTAAGATCTTCCAATGGTTAATTATTCTCACTGTTTAAAATGTTTGCCTGATTTTCAGTCTAAATTTGTCAAGCTTTGACGTCCCACCATTGAATCATGTCATATCTTTTTCTGCTATATACTAAACTCATGATGCCACATAATAAATAATCTGGTTCTTCCCAATATTAGAGACAATTTTTAAATAGCTGATATTTAACCCCTGGGTTACAGAAAAGTAGCACATTCACAATGCTTTTGGGGAACCCACCTTACAAGGTACTGAAAACATCCTGACTTACATGGGAAATGAGGATGCTCAGTAGCTCACAAGTCCTGGGACACGAAAGAATAGCAGAAATGGAAAGTTTCATTTCCATAATCTTTTCTTGGACTCTCCAAGGTGTGAAGCAATTACATAACCTTTGAAATGCCAGTAACTAAAAAATGTCCACATTTCAGAACACTTATCCCCCTACACTACATTTACCACACATATCTCTTTGGTAGTAGACTTGCATTCAACTGAAAATATGATAATTGTCAAGATGCTAATGCAAATGTTTGTTGGTGGTCAACAGAAGACATCCCCTTTATCTTCCTCACTCTATTATCTCCAATGATCCTGGGCCATGAAAATATGGTAGGGGTGGAACAGACTGGAGAAAGTCATATGTCTCATCCAGCGTGCAGAGTGTACTGGCCCTTTATTTCCAATACACAGCAGAACTGTGATCAGTAAAATGATTCAAGCACATTTTATTTTGACCACTTTGCAAAAAACAAAGCAGTTTATGGTCAAACCAGCTCCCAAATATTTTACAGGACCTTATGTAATAATTAACCCTTTTACAATAAAATACATAATTTTCTCTCCTCCATATTTATGACTATGGAAAATAAAATTCAATGACACCAAAAAGGAAAAAAAGGGTGCTTGGTAATATCATTTTTCTTGGTTGAAATGTAAACATTTTTTAGAAAACACTTCAAACTTGATAAAACTTAGAAATATTGCCAACTTGTGTTCTCAGCAATGGTCGAGAGTTGGCAGTTGGAAAGACATATTAGTTATTAAATTATTACTCCCCCTATCATGAGGTATAAAAGATATAAAAGTCCTGTGAGACTTTGTAATTTTGATACTGGATCTAACATACTGCTCATCAGGAAGCAGGTTTAATCTGAAGTTTCTCAGATACTTTTAGCAGCTGAATATACAAGAATAAGAGTGCAAGAAATTAGAATGAAGACTTCTAGACCTTCTGATTAAACAGTGAACCAAGCAGTTATGACAGTTTATAAATGGAAAAATTTATGGACCATATGACGGGATACTGATGTTCAGAAACATGTATGCAACTTTCACTGAGAACAGTGGGATTTGTGCAAATATCTCAGAGAGCTACCTTGGCCACTAGGCTTTATCAGCTATAGGCAACAATATTTCTTCCATTTCTGTTTTTCCTTTTGCTGTCTAAAATACCAAGCAACATCTTCTGTTTACTTTTCACAAGATCAATTTTTGTTTCTTGTAGGCTGAATTGCTGTTCTCCATTATCTAACGATGAGCCAGATTCTGATCTCCTTACACACTTTGAACTGCACCTCATTCCTCAAGAAGTCCCACTGGAGACAAAGGGGATTATTTGTGGAGGAGACAATGGGGATTACTCGTGGAGTAAGATGTACTTGTACTTGAATAAGGATAGAAAAATTTGAGCCAGTATTTGGACACTGGCAGTTGTATGGTTTTAGGGATGGGTGATTTTGTAGCTAAAGTACAGAACAGGGGTTATTAAGAGCTCTACTACAGACTTCCTTATATAACCTTGGGTGAGTCACTTGGGGGAAAATGTTCAAGGGTGCATAAGACAGTCAGGCACCTAATTATTTAATGTTTAGGTGCTACATAAGTGTGATGTATCCTCAGTATTAACAGTACTATTAAAATATCTTTATGCTTACCTTTCCTGTCAGGGGTGTGTGTAATACTAGAACCCCCCTACTGATATCTCTGGTTGGCACAACTCATATTTAGAGCTGATTTCTACTCCCTTCTTTATCTTTTCTAACCTGATTCTCACATACCCTTTTTGTTCTGGGATGTCCTCCAGCAGCATGTAAAGAAAATCCTGGAAAAGGAACAAAAGCACCACAATTAATATCTCTATCAAAAGATTACATTGTGTCTATGTCACTAGCAATAAAATTTAAACAGCTGCAGACAGGAGATTGATAAGAAAGAAATGTATATCTCATCTATATTATTACTTTGTTCAACTGTATAGATAACATATATTTTGTCTGTCAATTTTCCAAGCCAGTCAAGCTGAAAGGTGTTACAAGTTAAAAGAAAAAGAACCTGAAAACACTGCTCACTGTTTTAACACAATCCTACATTCTGTCTTTATTTAATCTATTACACACAACAACAAAATTACATTAAAAGAACTTAAATTAAGGTTGCAAATTCTAGCGCCCAAAACTTAGGAAAAGTTAAGAAATGCTGAAATTAAGGCTACCTGTGCAACCTTACTTTGGCCTCCTGATGTGTCTGCATAATGATATAGTCTTTAATTACACATTCACATAGTTTTTTCCCCCAAAAGGCACATCCTCAATGTGTCAGGCAACCTTAATAATAGATGGTGCAACCAGCCCTGCCTAGAAAAATACAGTTCATTCTCTTTATAAAGTTACCCCTGGCATACCAGAAGTATTCTGGCACTCATCACTTGAAACATAATCTCATTCTTTGTAACAATCACTTTGATACAGAATCACTTTGATACAACACACTAACTACTTGGGCTCCCACAAGCAGTTTTCAGGAGAGAAGCATTATTAAAAATAACTCTCAATTTTTACCGTCTATTTTTAACTAGCAGTAAATCAAGTTTGTTAATATTAAAAGTATCTTACTGGGGACAGGTCTATTAGCCTAGTGATGCTGTGCATTGCAGCACAGATTGCTTAGTATGATTCCTGAAAGTGAGCTCTTGCTCCCTTGGCAAAGAGTGTTGTATTGAAGGCAGCAAGTTTGATTCCTAGGGAATGGGAGCACCCTGTTTTGCTGAATACTCTTGGTAGTCCATCAATCCGATGATGACAAATCTGTGTAGATCATCAGTTGTTGATCTTATGGTGTGCCCTCTGATGGCTATACAAGCCAATTCTAAAGGTGCACATTTTGCTGCAGATGGTGCATGGGAAGTTCGCGGTCAGTGGATTGTGCGCTGCTGATTCTCTGTGACATTGTTCGCGTGCCTCTTGTAGACGCCAGCAGCAGTCTTCCTCAAAGGCGATGCAGGTATTCCTGACTGTTGCACGCCACTGTGTTCTATCGCTGGCGGCGTCCTCAAGGTCCCTAGGTTTGATACTGCTGTATTGCAGATTGGCTTTGATGGTGTCCTTGTAATGTTTCCGTGGACGACCTATATGCCGGATGCCCTGGGAGAGCTCACCATACAGAAGCTGGCGGGGGATTCTGTTGGCATCCATGCGGCTGACATGACCGGTCCAACGTAGCTGTGACTTCATGATCATCATTTCGATGCTTGTCATCTGGGCTCTCTCGAGCACTTCGAGATTGGGCACTTTGTCTTGCCAGCGGATCTTCATGATGTTACGGAGGCAGTGCATGTGAAATGCTTCGAACTGCTTGATGTGACGCCTATATATTGTCCATGTTTCGCACTTGTACAAAAGAGATGAAAGAACAACAGCTCTGTACACAATCAGTTTTGTTGACATCCGGATGTTATGGTGATTTAAAACTTTGACATGCAGACAGCCAAGTGCCTGGCTTGCTTTGGATATTCGTGCATTGATCTCATTATCCAGTGATCCATCACTGGATATGACACTACCCAGATATTTAAAGTTCTCCACTACTTTCAGCTGAATGCCATCGATGGAGATACTCGGGACAGAAGCATTTGATCCAGGTGCAGGTTGATGGAGAACTTCTGTCTTTCCAAGGCTGATAGTTAGTCCGAAAAGTTGCGAGGCCTCAGAAAACTTGTTGACAATGTGCTGAAGATCATTTTCAGTGTGAGCCATGAGGGCACAACCGTCAGCAAAGAGTGCCTCAAGAAGGAGTTTCTGCTGTCTTAGTGTTTGCATTCAGGCGACGGAGGTCAAAAAGTGAACCATCGTGCCAGTATTTCAAGTATATACCTCGGTCCAGATCTTTCACTGCATGGTTAAGGACACATGCAAAGAACAGGTTAAATAGGACAGGAGCGAGAACACATCCTTGTTTCACGCCGTTGGTGATGTTAAAGGGGGCTGATGTGGCTCCATCAGACAATACTTCGCCTGTCATGCTGTCATGAAAAAGGCGTATAATCTGGACAAATTTTCTTGGGCAGCCAAGTTGTGTTAGAATGGTCTTCCCTGTTGACGGTATCAAACGCCTTTGTCAGATCTATGAAGACAGCATACAGGTGCATGTTCTGTTCAATGCACTTCTCTTGTATTTCTCTGACAGCAAACACCATGTTGACTGTGCTCCGGCCAGGTCGAAAACCACATTGACTTTCAGGTAGATTTGCCTCGGAAATACTGGCTATTAGGCGGTTCAAGATGATGCGGGCGATGATCTTCCCTCCAACAGAGAGGAGGGATATGCCTCTATAGTTTCCACATTCTGCTTTGCTGCCTTTGTTCTTGAAAAGAGAGACAATAGTAGCATCGTGGAGGTCCTGTGGTATGTTTTCATCCTCCCAGATGTTGATGATCACGCTGTGGAATGCTGCTAGTGCTGCAGTACCTGCTGCTTTATATATCTCTGATGGTATCCCATCTTTTCCAGGAGCTTTCCCTGAACTCATCTGGCTAACAGCTGAATACTGATCACATTGTTAAAGGAGAAGGAGTACCTAGTTCAAAGTGTCAGTAATGGAATAAACCTTTCCACTTTAAATCAGGTCAGATTCAGGCCAGGTCAGTGCTGTTGTCCAAAAGATTTTACCATTTGTTGGCATCATTACAACTGTGATAGGGATGATACAAATCTGACTGAAAGTATTCATACTCAATGCCATTTATATAGAAACTTCAAATGTTAATCTAGCCAGATCCCTTGATCTGCTATCTCATCAGTGTTTTATAACCTATTATTAGCTGATATCGCTTGTCCTACTAGTATTGTATTATAGTCTCAGTTACTGTGAGACAAAATCTCTACTTTTTGATTCAGGCTCTTCTTTGTTTTCCAAGAAGATAATGAGAGGAAATTAAGAAGAAGAAAGACAATGCATATACATCTACTAACAATAAAGCAATAGCTATCATTTTTCAATTTTCCTTGAAATTAGGATGCTTCTATTGTTCTGTAAGTATTATACAAATATTTGATTTAGAATTGAAGTTTATAATGCATGTATTTCAGGGTCCTAAAGATAGGTATTTAGTACTAGGAACATAAGAATGGCCATATTGGGTCAGACCAAAGGTCCATCCAGCCCAGTATCCTGTCTGCTGACAGTGACCAATGCCAGGTGTCCCAGAGGGAGTGAACCTAACAGGTAATGATCAAGTGATCTCTCTCCCTGCCATCCATCTCCACCCTCTGACAAACAGAGGCTAGGGACACCATTCCTTGCCCATCCTGGCTAATAGCCATTAATGGATTTAACCTCCATGAATTTATCTAGTTCTCTTTTAAACCCTGTTATAGTCCTAGCCTTCACAACCTCCTCAGGCAAGGAGTTCCACAGGTTGATTGTGCGCTGTGTGAAGAAGAACTTCCTTTTATTTGTTTTAAACCCGCTGCCCATTAATTTCATTTGGTGGCCCTTAGTTCTTATATTACGGGAACAAGTAAATAACTTTTCCTCATTCACTTTCTCCACACCACTCATGATTTTATCTACCTCTATCATATCCCCACTTAGTCTTCTCTTTTCCAAGCTGAAAAGTCCTAGCCTCTTTAATCTCTCCTCATATGGGACCCGTTCCAAATCCCTAATCATTTTAGTTGCCCTTCTCTGAACTTTTTCTAATGCCAATATATCTTTTTTGAGATGAGGAGACCACATCTGTACGCAGTATTCAAGATGTGGGTGTACCATGGATTTATATAAGGGCAATAAAATATTCTCCGTCTTATTCTCTATTCCTTTTTTAATGATTCCTAACATCCTGTTCGCTTTTTTGACTGCCCTGCACACTTCGTGGACGTCTTCAGAGAACTATCCACAATGACTCCAAGATCTCTTTCCTGATTAGTTGTAGCTAAATTAGCCCCCATCATATTGTATGTATAGTTGGGATTATTTTTTCCAACGTGCATTACTTTACATTTACCCACATTAATTTTCATTTGCCGTTTTGTTGCCCAATCACTTAGTTTTGTGAGATCTTTTTGAAGTTCTGCTTTGGTCTTGACTATCTTGAGCAGTTTAGTATCATCTGCGAACTTTGCCACCTCACTGTTTACCCCTTTCTCCAGATCATTTATGAATAAGTTGAATAGGATTGGTCCTAGGACTGACCCTTGGGGAACACCACTGTCCATTCTGACAATTTACCATTTATTCCTACCCTTTGTTCCCTGTCTTTTAACCAGTTCTCAATCCATGAAAGGACCTTCCCTCTTATCCCATGACAACTTAATTTACATAAGAGCCTTCGGTGAGGGACCTTGTCAAAGGTTTTCTGGAAATCTAAAGTACAGTATGTCCACTGGATCCCCCTTGTCCACATATTTGTTGACCCCTTCAAAGAACTCTAATAGATTAGTAAGACATGATTTCCCTTTACAGAAACCATGTTGACTTTTGACCAACAATTTATGTTCTTCTATGTGTCTGACAATTTTATTCTTTACTATTGTTTCAACTGATTTGCCCAGTACTGACGTTAGACTTACTGGTCTGTAATTGCCAGGATCACTTCTAGAGCTCTTTTTAAATATTGGCGTTACATTACTACAAAGAAGGGTAACCACAAATTAGCATCTACACCATATTCTAGAGTAGGTAGTGATAGAGGCACCACCCATTTCTTAGGGCGTATGGTAAACTGGTACTAGGAGCCAGAGAGGGAAACAGGTAGAGGGGGGACTGCGAGCCAGTAAGTGAGGGAAGACTAAGATTGGATGAGGAGCCAAGAGGAAGGCTAGAACTGGCTGGGCAAGGAGATTGGGTACCAGTGGAGCTGGGTGAAGGTGGTAGTGTATAAAGAAGACGGATCTGCTGAGGAGCCAGGGTGCTGGTGGATAACTGGGACTGGTGTTTAAGGAGTCTGGGACTGAGATGAGAAGTCTGGGGACTGGATAGGTCAGGAGAATGGGACTGGAATGAGGCACCAGAGGTGGAGAAGAGACAGGACAGGGAAAGGGACAAGTTGGAGGTAGACGACAGAAGAGTCTGTAATCACTAGAGCATATTCCTTTCCAGAGCCTGGAATGGCACCCAAGATTCATGCACCATTCCTCTGCTGTCTGCAAATATCTGTGAAACTCACTATCAAAGTGTGTCTCATTCCCCTCTAGTGCCAGTCCACATAGAGAACTGCAGTCTATCACTGCTATTAGTTACTGAATTAGCTTAAGCAGCAGAGATCTGGCTGGTGAGTCCAAAGGTTCCTACCATGCTGATTACTCATGTAGATGTCAAGATGATGCCATACAATGGAATTTATGTTTTTTCAGCTTGTTTTTTAAAATGTAGAAAATTAGACACAAAAACATTAAGTTAAAACAACATTATTAGGGTTGCAAAGTCAAGCACTCAATAGTTAGGAAATGATACAGGCAACCTTAATTCTTGCTTCTCCTAACTTTTGAGTGCTTGACTTTGCAATCTTAATAATGTTTTTTTAACATAGTTTGTGTGTGTATGATTATAAATAAAGTGAATGTTGACAGAGTTTATAGCAAGCATATATGCAGAGAAAGAAATCTTTAAAAAGCAATGCACCTGTAATCAAAGTAGTCTACGAGCATAGCATAACTTGATTAATTAGATTTAAAATGGCACTCAAATATTTTAAAACTAAAATGTAGGTTTTGCTTTAGAAAGGACTTTGATAAAACTTGATTTTAGTAGATTTTTTCATTAAGTTTTAATTTCAATAGGTTTTGCTTTAATATAAACATTCCCTTCACAGTATTAGCAATCAAAAATGGCAACAATGTGTTAGTGCAGGGATCGGCAACCTTTGGCACGTGGCCCGCCAGGGTAAACACCCTGGTGGGCCAGGCCAGTTTGTTTACCTGCCGCGTCCACAGGTTCAGCCGATGGCAGCTCCCACCGGCCGTGGTTCACTGCTCCAGGCCAATGGGGGCTACGGGAAGCGGTGCGGGCTGAGGGATGTGCTGGCCGCCCTTCCTGCCAAAGGTTGCTGATCCCTGTGTTAGTGAATGTGAGAATCAGAATGTGAAACTAACTGGACTGAAGTGAAACTGACATCTATTTCTGTGTTCCAACCTCAATTAAGTGCAAAAGCAAACAAAGGCTCCAATCCTGTAATCTGCTCTGCAGAGGGGGTCGTTGAGCCCCATTGACATCAATGGGTATTCACTCAAGCTGAGGGTCTTCAAACATGGCAAAGCTTCCAGGACTGGGGCCAAAGGGTATAAATATATTTCAGGCCCTGATTTCTTTAAAAAGCAATCCAGAAATGTCTATGCACAAAAATGCTCAGACACCGGCATGTCTACATTTCCACCTCCAACTGCCACATTTGTATGAGCAAATGAGCAGGACAAACACATAAGTATTAATTTGCAGGTGTAGATACCCATTTATCATACAAAATTGTGGTAATAGCTTGGGTATAGGTAAGTGTGCATGTGTGTGTATATGTATATACGTATACCTCGGCCTCTATTCACTGAAAGTTTGCCTTTTAAAACTTTGTCATAACAAAATCTGGGATTTAAAAAGTGTTGTTTGTTTGTTTTTAAGCAAGTCTGTTTCTGTGCCACACCAAATTAGAATGCAGGAGTAGTACAGGTCCTGAGTATTATTATCGCAGATGGAACTGTATGAAAATGAAACTTTGCAAACAACTTGATTCCTAGTGTGTTCTTTTTCCACCCATCAAATTAAACAGTAGAATTAACTGCACTAGTGAAATCAGGAACTTGTACTCATTTCTATTTATTTCTATATCACTCCATTCATTATAAAATTTTAATTCAAGGCAGTTACTAAATGAATTCTCCCATATAAAGTAAAACAGAAGATTTATTTTTAAATCCTGCTAAAAGATTCCAGACTTGCTTTACTCATCTGTTGCTACTTCAACTAAAATAAACAAAAACTACGATTAGAAACATACTAAGCAATGGCAATCAAAATGAAGGGAAAAAAGCAAACTGATTAATGTTTCACATCTGAAGTCATTTCCTTGCACCTGCAGCTCTCATCTAGGAAAAATACTACAAATATCACTGAAAACAAGACTTGTATTCAGAAAGTAGATAATTATTTGCACTGTGAGTTTTTACTTTCTCTCTTCCTCAGAACTCTTAATGCTGGGAATGCTTACAATTGTTTTGGACAAGGCAAAAGTACAACACCATATTTAAATTTACCACTTCTGCCTTTATTTTAAACCTCTTATTGCTTCAGTGGCAACAGAATACTGTACTTATTCAAGAAAGAACCTGAATAAGAAAAGTTAGTAGAAAGTTTTAATTACAGTAATTACTTTTGATATCATGTATGCCTAGCTACAATTAAATGCCAAATACCTAAACAAATGCAACATTAAAGTTGAGATTTTCAATACACAGAGTCAAGAAATTCAGAATTAACCATAACTCTGCTTCCTTGCATTTTTATTACCTAGTTATACAACAAAGATGGACCAATAGAAAATGCTACTTGTGTGTGTCTAGAAATGTACACCGATTGCTACCTAAGGGTAAGATCAAACTCCTACTCAATCTTTCCAGTAACTTTGGATTTGGCCTCCAATGAACTGCTGAGAAAGTACCAGAAGTGTTGCAATGGCATTGTGACTCATTCCAGCCACCTCTGATTCCCAAACATAGACACTTATGACTGTTCAAAGCATCAAACTTTAGTGTGTCTTTCTGGTGTAAGAAAATACACTATGATTGATGCATTTTTAAGAAAACATCCATAACTTTATTATTTTAAAATCAAATATCTTCAAACAAAGGAAAGCACATTTCTCGATCTTGACTAATCGCACGGCCAAGTTTGAAGTTTTAAAACAAAGTCTTCTTTGAGTTAATTATATTTAAAAAATGAGTCTTGAGAAATCTTAGATGAAAAATGCCATATATTCACTCTCAACTCAAAAATGGCTCAACAAATTTTTATCAAACTACTACGAATATTTGCTTCTGGGATGAGAACAAGCATGAAATGTTTCAGCTTGTAAAAGAACAGCTGGATACACTACAAATTCACACTTTACAGCAGAGCATTGGAGTGAGAGGGAAGATTACTAGTAGATTAGTAGTACCACTGCAATATGATCTGGCTCGGATGACCTAATAGCTTAATGTGTTGGGACCTTCCAACATTTTGCAATATTTATGCAATCCACTAACTTAATTGATTTCCTGTCAGGCTAGTAGATCTAACTGCAACAAGCTGACTTTTTCTACCCCAATCCAATACTTTTCCTGCAGTCAAATTAAGGGTATTAGCCAGCTTCTTTTGCTTTCTTGCAATAATTTTCAAAAAAGTTTCCAGCTGGTGCTAACACTAAAGCACTGGTGTTCACAACTTTGGAGCCTTAGTGTAGACAAGTCTTCAACAGTGATTGGTATTTTTTACTCTGTGCCAATTAAAACTTCTCCAAGGAAGTCTAATTGACCTGGTATTCAAAACAGCTGCAAGCAGTGAAAACCTTCTCTACCTTAGGGTGCCCAATGTTCCCTCAAGTGGTAGAGCTGCACCTTGTGTACACAAGACTAAAGAATGGGTATAAGTACTACTAGCTTGTTCTTTTACTGGAGCAGATAGAGTCATGGAATAGCTTTTCCCAGCTTTCTTCTTTCGTTGCAGCAAGGTACAATATGAGACTAGGTAACTCTGCACAGAAATAGTTAGCAGTTAGGCAGCAAGTCTCTTCCCTGAAATTCTTCAGCCTGGTTTTAAAAAGAATCATCTCCTTTCAGAGCGGATCTTAAAGCCACCTTTAGCAGTCACTATTTTTCCTACACTTGCTGATTACCCAGTTTAACTCAGCACATAACTGCTGCAATGTGCTTCCAATGTTCCAAATACACATCCAAGTCCAGAATCTTGAAAGTCCAATGCAACAAATATAAATGCAGGTTCTGTTTCCATGCCTCCTTCAATGTATTTAGATGAAATTATCTTTATCTGATCAAAGTCTGATACAGGTACTCGTACCTGAATAAATGGGTGCACATGAGTCAGTCTGACAGCAATGCAACTTCAAGACACTCAGACAACACCACAGTGATGACTGCACAATAGAGTATATACTATTATAAGTTCAGATACAGTATCTCATATCAGTTACACTAAGAACAGATTTCTGTTTCCATTGATTTCAATGGAATATTTGCCACTGCCCTCAAGGGAGTAGGATTGCATCCTTCCAGTATATACATAGTATTTAGTTTTTACTGCTAATAGCTCATGGGAATTTATATTTAGTTCAAGTGACAGAGGTCTGTACTTCTGGAGCAGGATGATTTCAATTTATACCCCTTGTTGCCTTGAAGTGTTAAATAATAATAATACATATATACATATCACTTGTAGAACACTTTTTATGCAAGGTTCCAAGTGCTTTATAAAGGACAGTAAATATCATCTCCATTTTACAGATAGGGAAAATGAGGCACAGAAGTGAAGTGTGACTTGCTTTAGGAAAAACGGAGTTCATATTGGAGCTTAAAACAGAATCCAAGTTTCCTGACTCAGTGTCCTATGCCTTATCCACATTTTAAATTTCCAAAACCAGTGATTTAAATAGTCAAACAAAAAATAAAAGTCACTTATTTTTCAACAAACTGGGAAACAAGCACCAGCAGAGTACCTGAGAAAGGATCAGTTGTCCATGAAACTTCTGCACAAACTTTCTTAAAAATTCAAAATATGTAGCCTCTCCAATTCTCTTGGCTAGAGATTGCAGAAGGAAATAGCCCTGGAAGAAATCAGTGCCAAAGACAAAGATGATGCTATTAATTAAAGGATACACAAAAATAAGTGTTTATAAATGTGTTGGTAACATCAGCTTCAGTTAGGTCAGTTTTGCACTCTTACCTTCAAGTAATGAACCTGCATGAAGATTTTTTCTGCATTAAGACCGTGTTTGATTATGCATGTTCCAGACTCACTCACTTCTCCTGTGTTCTCTTTGTTTGGCCTAAAATGATTGCAAATCAATTAAATTGTTGATAAGTGAGTAAAGAACTAATGCATTACAAACTTTCATTGCCCAAAATGATTATAATAGGTTGGTATCTTCAGACACTACTCACTACATTAGTCTCTGTTCTACTTTGGATCTGAATTTGTGCTAAATAGCTTAGCAGTTCTCAGCTGGGGGTCCACAGCCCACTGGGGGACTGCAAGCCATTTCAGTGGGTCCGCAAAGCAGGGCCACTTGGAGCCCTGGGCCTGAAGCTTGGAGTTCTGGTGCCCTGCAGGGTGAAAGCCCTGAGCCCACATGCCCCATGGGGCTGAAGCCCTGAGCCCAGGCACTCCACGGGACTGAAGCCCTGAGCTCTGGTGCCATGAGCCTTGAAAGAAGCTGCCCCACAGGACTGAAGCCCTAAGCCAACCCCACAGAGCTAAAGCCCCAAGTCACCCCCCACCCCAAGGTGCTAAAGCTCTGAGACCCCACCCTGTGGGGCAAAACCCTCAAGCCTTCCATCCCACAGGGCTCCTGAGCCCCCTCCCTGCAGGACAGAAGCACCCCCCTGAGGCTGAAGCCCGGAGCCTCTATTCCCTCCCCCCCCGCCCCCCTGGCTCTGGAGTTTTCATTGCATGTTGGGGGAGGGAGGCTTTGAAAGAAAAAGGTTGAGAATCCCTGAAATAGCTTAGCTAATATGAAAAGAAGTAGAAATAACAAGAAATGTATCCTTCTAATGTAATTTTGTGTGTGGCTGCACAAACAGCTGAGGTTAAACTGAAAGCCAACACTAAGCTGGTATATAGTACTTGCTCTTCCCTCCCAGACGTGACATCATATTGCATGGCATTTCATTAAGAGATACTACAGCAGACAAAAAAAGGCAGAGATATTTGAGATGGAGGTATATGGGAAGAAAGGATATTGAACTCATTACACCGGGCTACATATTTCACTTTTCATACCTGAACAGAGCTTAACAGCTCACAAGACTACACCTGCAAGAATGAATGGCCTCTTTCATCTACATTTAATACACTACAGAAAAGTATAAGCCTTCCATTCTTTTTCTTCTTTGGTTTGTCATTTTGTGTGCATGTCAGCAAAAAACAACCAAAGCTTTGAAAGAGAGAGCCTGCCACACACAGCCTTGGGGATTCTCAGTCAGACAGACAGTAATATCCAGAACAAATTCAAACTATGTTAACTCTTTAGTATTGGGTCTTCAGATTGCCAAGCCTCAATAGGCATGATGGACATGATGGTGCCTAGCAGTCCTATAAGTTTAATCACAGAGAAGAAAAACTAAAGACAAATTATGCAAAATTTCCCCCTTCCTCTGTAAATGAGTTCTTCCATACCACAGCCACAGTACTGAAGTATTAATTCTTTCTTGTCTTCAAACTTCTTTCCAAGAGGTCCCACACTGAGGCCACTGGGTGGCCAAGGAGGACTAGACAACACTTCTTTAGGACTGAAAACAATTCTGGAGACTTTAAATATAGTTTTAGTACGAGCGAATGGTGGCAAACTAGCAGTTCTGGAAATTTAAGCCCTATTTTTCCCCTCCACAAAATAGGGACAGCACAGGCAGCAGCAGTCCAAGCTTCCTTTTAAACACCATTAATGTGTCTCTGAGGGACCAACTCTAAGAGTCAAGTCTCGATACCCATTTAAACCTTGGTCTCTGCTTTGATTGCTAACAAAGATTGATACAAGCAGCTAATTTTACTTAATCCAATGAAGAGACAACAAATATTTTTGGTTACTAATAACCAGTCATTATTCACCTAAAGATGAAAGGGACATATCTCGTTACTAGTCCTCTGAGCCATCCCCTTCTGTAAAGTGTGTGCATGTGTATTTAAGAATAATTAAACAAACAGAACTTAATCCACATTCCATAATTCACTTAGTACAACCTATCTCAGTGATTCCCAAACTGTGGTACATGAGAATGTTGTAAGTGGTATGCCAGACACTCTTAAAAAGAAATTGTTCAGTTTCAAATCAACAGTGGTTGCATGAGGTGCAGCTTGCCAGAAAGTGATTTTGAAACAAAATGCATGTGCGTGGACAATTTTAGCCATAATGGTGAACAACATTCACCAACAATGCCAGCACAGTAGTTTTATTAGTGGTGTGTTGTGCACTGTGGCTGTGCAGATGGGCAATGTGCTCTCATCTGGTGAGCTGGATTTCTACTGAGCCTAGCCTTCAGCTTGTGCCACACTGCACAACTCAAGCCATGAGGCAAACTTGCAAAGCCCTATGCCACATCACCGGAGCTCCTTTTTTCTGAAAAAGAACATGCATACAGTGCTAGTTCAAAGTGTAGGCAAAACTTGCAGCTGCAAGGACTCCCAAGACTTAAAGGGCATGCTCCAGGAAGCTGCTGCAGAGCGTGCTGCGTCTGTAACCTGTGCCTTACAGAGGCTGCAGCCTGGCCCCTGCAAGGCTGCGAGGCAGGGGACACATGGGGAATTCTCTCCTGTCTCTGCAGGGAAGTTGGGGATGGGGGTGATTGGTTGGTCTGGTGAATAGAAGCCTAGATACAGGCCTGGCTCTTCAACAGCAAAGCAGCTGGTCTGCTGCAGCTGGAGTCTTTGCCAAGGAGGATGAACCCCTATGCAATTTCCCCAACACTGCAAGCATCTAGGAGGCGGGGCTCTGCTTCACTGGGAGTCAGACGGGCAGAGTAGCAAAAAAGGCTTCATGGAGCTGAAACTGCCTGATACCCTCACTTCCAGCCAAGACGCACCCAACACTCCCAGGGGTCGGCAACCTTTCAGAAGTGGTGTGCCGAGTCTTCATTTATTCACTCTAATTTAAGGTTTCACGTGCCAGTAATACATGTTAACGTTTTTAGAAGGTCTTGTTCTATAAGTCTATAATACATAACTAAACTATTGTTGTATGTAAAGTAAATAAGGTTTTTAAAATGTTTAAGAATCTTCATTTAAAATTAAATTAAAATGCAGAGCCCCCCGGACTGGTGGCCAGGACCCGGGTAGTGTGAGTGCCACTGAAAATCAGCTCGTGTGCTGCCTTCGGCACACGTGCCATAGGTTGCCTACTTCTGCCTACCTCCTCCCCCCTCTGAGTTGCCTTGCATTTTACACACATGCACCTTTCTCACTAATGGCACTTTTTTTGTTTTCTCCGAGAACTACTCAAAATGCTTGGTATTTTTCTTGAGTTAACTTTTGTAAAAAGAGAACCAGACTGAAATTTGGCTCAAATTCATCAGTAATCATGATAAGAATTAGCAAGAACTTCAAACTTAAATTAGACAAGTAAAAAAAAAAGAAGATCAACCAATTGAATGTTCTTCAGTGACATACCAAAAAATTTCAGCGGGAGGCTCAGGGCTTTAGCCCCTCGGGGAGAGGGGTGGCTTGGAGCTTTAGCTCTGTGGGGTTGTGGGGCTTGGGGCTTCAGCCCCACGGGGCGGCTTCTGCCAGGACTCAGAGCCCTGAGCCTCAGAGCTTCAGCCCCATGGGACACCTGGGCTTCAGGCTTCCTGCTTGGCAGACCTCTTGAAATGGTTTGCTGCAGATCCCTGCTTGAGAACCACTGGGTTAGGACACCCATCTGGGATGTGGGAGACTAAGGCCTGGTCTACACTACGGGTTTA